AACTTAATAACGTACTATTAATATGAAGATTTATTTTGGTTGTTTGTTTGTTAAAATTTAGTTAGAGTTTATTTAAAATTTAAATTCTTTAGTTAATCAAGAGAGATCTAATAAAAGTATTAATTACATTAGTTGAATGTGACATTTAATATGTACTTTATCGATATAAGGAATAAAATAATAAGGAATAGAAAAATTTTAAAAATTTGCTCTGGAATTTGTCAAAAGAGTGTTGTGTTATGCTTCATTTTAAGGTATCTAAATATATATTCATTAAAAATTTTTAATTTTGTTTTTAAATGGTTTATTCTTTTTCACTACTTTAGATAAATATATACTGACTGACATAACTTCATTTTTATTAACAATGTCGTGCATTGTAGTCTGCATTCTTTGTTACATTAAAAATAATTGATGCTAATAAATGTTCTTTTATAGTTGTTAAAAGTTTGCATATATGTTTGCATTTATATTATGATCAAAGTTAAAATTTTTTTGATAAATACGTGTATGTGGTGATACTACTCCGGTATCACTGCAGCTTATCTCTATCAGGTACATTGATTTTTAATTCACATATGATGTTTTTCTTTGTATTTACTTATTCATTACATTTTTAACTTCAGATTTATGGTGTATTTATTTGCTATAGAAGAACAAATCATTTTGAATTTTTTAAAAATATCTACACCAATCAACATTTAAAATTCAATGTAGCATATACCAGCTTCTAGGCTTTTTTGATGCTTTTCTTATTTAAGTGGTTTCATAAGCAAGGTCTACAAGCAAATTTGAGATAAAAAAATTTTCAGCTTTCAAGGAGTATCAATGTTGTTCTCTGTGTACTTTAATTTGTTTAAATAGAGTAGTTTTAGTAAATAAATGTTTGTTTGTTCTTGGTTTTTTACTTATTTGTTATCAGATTCTTAAGAATTAGGCAACTTAGCAAGCAAGATTTATTTTATTTTTTAGTGCAATTGGAAAGAGCTAAAGTGCTTTTTAGTTACTTCAAATCATTTGTTTTTATTTTTTAAATAGAAGGGTTAATAATAAAAATATTTAGACAGTCGAACTGTTACTGATTTGAGTAAGTTTAATTTTTTGTTTAATTTTATATTAGATATATATTTTATGTATTTAACATGAAAAACTGACTGTAATTTTTGACAGGTAAGTTTATATACTTAAATGTGCCTATATATCGGAATATTTTATATTTCTCTGAATCTATATGAATATTATCTCAAAGAAAAATTTTAGAATAGAAAAAATTTGAATATATATACATACATATATATTACTTTAGACTGACATTGCTTCATTTTTTATACAAGACTCTGCATTTATTATTTTTGTGCATTAAGATTGTGCCTGAAGGCTTTCTTAATTTAGCAAAGAATTTAAAACACAATGCAAATAACTTTGCACTGTGTTCTAAATTCTTTGCTAAATTAAAATAATGTAAATAAATTTTGTTTTATATTTTTCAGTTGTAAAAATATAAAACGTTCATTTATAGCATAACCACTGGTAATATATATTTAATGATAACAGATTTATAATATTAGGCTCGAAGAAGTTATTAGTGTAAATGGTTATAGGTGACTTGAAATTGTTGTCATATGAAAGAAATAGATCTAGGCATGATAAAATTAATTGTCGTTGAAATATAAGAAATTTTGCTTGATGAACCAAAAACTTACTTGGCAAAGCAAAGTATGAATTTTACTATTTATAGTAACAAATAATAAAAATTTCAGTTTTAATTTTTTATTTTTTATTTTTTTTTTTTTTTTTTACTTTTGTAATCTTAATATAATTGTTCATTTTTTTTTTAGTTGTCTTTGTCATCACTTGATTATTTTGCTTACTGTTGAAACATGGTTTTAATTTTGTAAATTTAATATGATGTGAAATTTACAATATTAATCATTTGTCAACAGTTAGAGAGAAGCTGGAAATAAATTAAGAAATGCTGGAAATTAACTTTTAGTTAAGGTAAAAATAATTTTGTTTATTGGTAGCATAATAAAACCAGTTACTGTTATTTATTGCATGACTTTTTTACTTTTTCTAACATGGTGTTTTTAAAACACTTCCTCTCTCTCTTAGATGAGACTTAAATAAGAATTAGTATTGAGAATTGTAGAGAGAGAATTGATTGGGGGGTCGTATGGGTTGAATGGGCGGTCGTAACTAAAAACCTTTAAAAATATGGAGAATATTGTAGTTTTGCGCATTAATATCGAGTTACTTAAGTTTTATTTATGTGTTTAACTAATTAGTTAGCTTAGTCTGTATTTGCAACACTTTTGAGGAAAGAAAGAAAACATTTTTATATAAGTAGATCATTGTTTTACATTTTAATATTTTATTTTATTCACCAGGCCACCATTAAAGCAAAAAGAGGGAAGGAACCTCTTTATTAGAGCCAAAATATTTAGAAAAATTAAATTTCGAGTTACAAAAGGAATTTTTAATAAATGGTGGCAAATTACCGTTTACTAAAAATTTAATGAAATAAAGAGGCCAAATAAATAATATACAAATGGTCTGTGTTGAACAGACTTAACAAGACCCGGGTCGGGTCAGCTTGGTTTACAAATTTTTATGTCTACTTATCTCTTATAATTTTTATTTTAGTTTGTTCTATGATGCATTAATGTATTAAAAAATTTGTTATACCTATGTTTGATCGTAAATTAAATTTTCTTTTGTTTGAAAGGTATTTGTACTCAGTTGCGTAGTATAATAAACTTTGTTATTTTTTATAAATTTATTTAAACGTGTGCATTTAACATTTTTAAGTTAACAATTTTCTTTTCTAAAGAACAATTAATCAAGGGGATAACAAAAAATTGATAACTCCTGTATAATATAAGTTAACTTCATTTTAAAAATTATTTTAAGGATTTAGTTGACACTTTCGTCAATTTAAAGTATAACCAAGTATTATTTTGCGTCAGTAACTAAAAACGTATTGTGTTAAACTTAGGAAGGTCGATGAAAATGGTTCTGCCTTACACTGTTATGACCTGTGCCATTTGTAAATTACTTAATAATGTTGAGTAGTAGTTGGTAAATTATTTTACCTCCTCATAATTTTTATGTTAATTTTACAGATGGACTAATTTTTTCAAGCTGAAGGCAATTTTCTAAAAGGGTATTAGTTAAGGTTTTGCAAAATTAAATTGTGGAAAACAGCTACTATAAATTAATTATGTAACAGACCGACCAAAACCCGTATTACGGGTTGCCTTTTGCTAGTATATATTATAGCGACGTTTAATTTTGTTTGATAATATTTTGCGATATTTTCTCCAGCGCATTTAAGCGTTGATTCAGCGTTATATTTCAACCTTTACTCGACGTCTTTGAGTCACGTTAAATCGACGTTTTACTACCAACGTTACAAATCCTTGCAAAATCGACTGCTTTAACAACGTTTAAGTAACGCTTTTCAAGTAACGTTTTTGCAATGCAAAGTTGCGACGCTTATGCAACGCTTTTTAAGTAACGTTTTTTGAACGTTTAGTTGCGACGTTTTTGTCACGTCTTTTAGTAACATTTTTTCAATGTTATGCTACAATGTTTAATCAACGTCTTTTTAACAACGTTACATATCTTTGCAAAATCGATTACTTTGTCAACGTTTCCGCAATATTCTTTGCGACCGGTTTTCAACGTTGATTCAACGCTGTCATGTGTGCTGGGTAAAATTTTAAAAATATTTCTTAGTTTACATTAAAAGCCTACACTAAAACTGAAGATCCATTATATAAATATTTGAACCTCACAATTTTTAATTGGCACTGACTGCACTATAAGTATAAATATTATAACATTGCAGGGTTGCCACCAAATCAGGGAAATCAAGGAATTCAGGGAAAATCAGGGAAATTTAGATACAATCAGGGAAAATCAGGGGGAAATGATTGATTTAGGAAAAAATCAGGGAAAATCAGGGAATTTTTTAATTTTTCTTTAATGGTTTTATATTTTTTCTAATAAAAATCTTCCTTTTTAAAGGTACCAGGGTTAATGTTTAACATTTTTAAAGAAAATTAATCATATTGTGTTTACATTAATTTAATGTTTGCAACATAATTCAAAGAAAAATGGTTAATTGATCCTTTGTTTGAAAAATGGCTGATAATAGGCAAAAATGTCCAATTGGATCTAAAAATTCAGTTTTAGAGCAGCAATTTAAATCGTGTTGAATCCAGATACTTTGACTCTAAATTTTTAGGTTACCCCACAGCAAAGAATTGACTTCAAAGTATGACTCAACTAAGTATGGAAGGTACAAATGTGAACTGTTCCCTTTTTAATCTTCTTGAATTGCAGCATGATTAACAAGAGCTACCTAAACTTCTTAACGTTGGAAGCTGTAACCTTTATCTAATACATGGTTTCAAATCGGGGTTTCAATCTGCTGAATGGAATATAAAGAAGTTAATGAAAGCATCATACAACCTTTTTTATGATTCTTCAGCTAGAAGAGCTGATTATGTAACTGTTACTAAATGTGAGAGTTTTCCTTGTGCATTTTGCTCTTGTAAAGAGCAAAATGCACAAGGAAAACAATGCACAAGTTGTAGATAGACTTTGTTTATTTTGGGAGAATGTTAAAAAAAATAACCAAGTATTGGGAGACTCTTTCTAAAAGTAATGTAACCAAAATGAAAGAGCTATGACAAGTGTTTGGGGCAGAGTTGTTAACAAGGCCAAAATTATCAAGACCAAGGCCAAGGCCGCTCATTATAAGTCCAAGGCCAAGATCAAGGCTAAAAGTTACAAGGGCAAGGCCAAGAGTTTATGGTTAAGGCCAAAACAATCAATACCAAGACCAAAATTTTCAGGTCAAGGACTAACAACTCTGGTTCGAGAGAACAAAAGATATGTTAATTCTGACTAAATTGAAGTTTTTTGGTTACATTGCAAGTTTTTTGCAGAAAATCTTACTGAGGTACCAAACCAATACCCAAATGATTCCCTTTCTTTTTGAAGATTTGTTCTCAACTGTTGAAAGTTTAACGGGTTTAATTATAAAACAAGATCTCCTTAGCATCGTTAATGGCAGGAAACTTCAATAATATGATTTTACAAAAAAGGAAAACTTTCTGCTATTAAAATTAAATATATATTAATATGTATATATTAATGATAATAGGATTTGCTGCAGAACATGACATTATCGAATTGAGGAAAAAGGTGCATTATCTCAGAATGTCATCATAGATTCATAAAAGATTGCTGTCTCATTATCTTTGGAATTCTGGAAAAAAGAATAGAAAGAAGTTTGAATCAATTTTCTTTTCTGGAAGCAACTGCTTGCATCAATCCAGTGTCAAATCTTTCTAAACAAAAAGCTGATCTTCTTCAGATGAAATCTGTACTACATCTAGTTCTTTCTTGCTCACATATTATTTCAAATGAATGTGATCAAGCTTTCGTACAATTTTTAAAGTTGTCAGAGAAAAGTTCATCTACTTTTATTTTGAAACGAATAAAGTTGGTGTAGATTATAAGGTTTTGTCAAAAGTTTTGATATTTATTTTTATGTCATGGGCAAGCATCAATTGAGAGAGGTTTCAGTATTAACAGTAATATACTCAGTGAAAAAATGAAAGGACTGTCACTTATGTCTTGTCGCACTATCAAGGATTTTATGGTGTCAAACAAATTAAAGTCTCACAAAATAGAAATAAACAATGAAATGATAAATGGTATTTATAGTGCCATATTACAATAAAAAAAACTATTTGGAGGAAAATAGAATACTCCAAGCAAAAGAAAATAGCGTGATAATGCTTTTAGATCAAGGAATATTGGGAGGAAAAGAAAAAAAGTATTAAACGATGTATGTAAAACATACAGTTAGAAATTTATTACATTCATTTCATTTTTTTGAATTTCATTATCTTGTATCCTGATAAGTCTTACAGGTTTTCAATGCCTGTTGAACATATCCATTTTAAATATACTCTGGTTCGAAGAAAAATTTCATATGTTGATTGAAGTATTTGATTATTTATTTTAATTTTTAAGCAAATTGATTGGTTAATTACTTATTGGGGGATTATAGTTTTTTAGAGGTAAAAAATGCTCTGGGGTTATTAGGGAAGTTTTAATGCTAAGTTTGGGCATTTAAATGCTGGAAAAAAAAATTTCAAGGGGAAAAATTAGAGTAAAAAAAGAAAAATTTTAGCAAAAAATCAGAGGGAAAATCAGAGAGAAAAATGTAAATTTTTGGCAAAAAAAATCAGGGAAAATCAGGGAATTTTGTTCCTAAATAACAGTGGCAACCCTGCACTGCTATTCAATCAATATAACATCTATCATAAACAAATAGATGTTAGGTCTTAATATAAACAAAAAATAGTAATTTTATTTAGTTATTTAAAAATTAGTTACCAATCAAAATGCATAATTTTTCTCTAAAACTTTTAGAGAAAATTTATGCATTTTAAGTAATAACTATTTTTCATAACTTTTCTACTTTTAGTGAAAGTAGAAAAATTAGGAAGCTAAGAGTTAACTATACACGTTCTATACTATAGAACGCTATAGACTATAGCGTTGTTAAAAACCAAACAGAAAAAACAATTTAAGAAATAGTTAAAAAAAATACTGAAACTGATCCTTTTTTGAAACTACTGCTTCTTTTTTGAAACTGCTATTTTAGTAGCATGCTACTAAAATAGCAATTTCAAAAAATTTTGATAATTTTTTTTTAGTTATTGCTAGCAATAACTGAAAAAAAAAAATTATCAAAATACATTGTTACTGTACTTAAAATTACTTTTAATCGCTCATAAAATATTATCGAAGAACTTACAGGACTTTTTAACTGCTTCATTAGCCACAATATAATACTAAAAACAATTTTTTTTTATCTTTTCTAAACCATTTATTACATAATTTAAGATTAAAAAGAAACTCAAATTTTTAATCATAATGAAAGATTCAAAACGTCCGACACATTTTGAACGAAACTAATTTAAGAACACGTTTAGAATTGATTCCTAAACGTTTAGATCGACGTAAATGCCATCTAAACGTAATCTAAACCAATTTTAAACCAACAAATGCCCGTTGGGACAAATCAAATTTTTGTTAAACGTATTTTTAATGAAAGGAATTTTGAAACATATAAAAAATATAAAATCGCACATGGAAAGTTTTAAAGGAAATTACAGGCAGTTTAAAAATGAACACACTCACATTGCCTAAAACCATCAAATTAAATGATAAATATTTGTATGGTAATGAAGAGATAGCTAACGAGCTGAATAAATTTTTTGTTTCTGTTGGACCAAATTTATCCCAAAAAATTCCTCAAGCAATTAATCCGATAAGTAATCTAATTATCCCTAATACATTACAATTTAATTTAATTCGTTTTAACTAACTTTTGAAGATGTTAAATGCGCTTTTATAATGCTAAGACCCAACATATCAGCAGGTGCGAATGATATTAATGTAAATATTGTTATTAAATCATATGAAATCCTAAAAGATGTACTTTTTAAATTTTTTTCTTGTTCTTTTAAGCAAGGAATTTTTCTCAACCAACCAAAAATAGCAAAGGTGATTCCGATATTTGAGGTAGGCGATTTAACTAATGTTAGCAACTATCGTCCCATTTCTATTCTATCTGCATTTTCAAAGGTCTTGAAGAGAATTTTATACAACAGATTTTGTAATCATTTATCTGTAAACAATTTAATATATAGCAATCAATAGGGATTCAAAAAAATAACTCGACAGAACACGCAGTTCTCTAGTTTACGAGAAGTATTACTAACTCTTTTGAGAACTCCCAATATACAGTTGGTGTTTTTATCGACTTAGCTAAAGCTTTTGATGCTATAGACTATCATGTTCTTTTAAGTAAACTAAAGATTTACGGTATAAGCGGAAATGCTTTAAATTGGTTAAAAAGTTTTTTAAATAATCGAAAGCAGTTTGTATACGTGGATGTAGTTTCACTAGTAAACTTACTCGATATAACCGGTGGAGTTCCTCAGGGATCAATATTAGGGCCTCTTCTGTTTCTTATTTACATTAACGATCTCCATAAAGCCTCAAGTTTAATGATGATTATGTTTGCAGATGACACGAACTTATTTTTATCTCATAATGATATTACAGTGTTATTTCATTGATTAATTTTTTTCCATCCAAATCACAAAAAAAACATGGTACCGCTTTTTTTTGATAACATACTTCTAAAAAAGGTAACAGTTACCAACTTTCTTGGTATTTATATTGATGAAAATTTATCATGGAAAAGTCACATAAAAAATTTAAGTTGTAAAATAACAAAAAGCATAGGAATTTAATAGAAAGCAAGGAGTTTTTTAAATAAATATACATTACTTAAACTATATTATTCGCTCATTCATTGTCACATAAACTATGCGAACGTTGCGTGGGCTAGTATTAATCAAAGTAAACTGGAACCTCTTTATCGTCAACAAAAACATATTGCACGCCTTACTAATTTTAAGGATCGATTTACTCATGCCAAACCTCTATTTATTGAAATAAAAGTTTTAAATATATATGAGCATAATATTTTTAACGTTATATGCTTTATGTTTAAATCTAAAAACAATATTTCTCCTATACCTTTTCATAATTTGTATAACAAAAAAGAAAAAACTAAATACTTTTTACGAAATGATAACGACATTTGTCAATCAGCTTATCAAACTAATTCTGAAAAATACTGTATTTCATTTCGAGGATCATTGTTTTGGAATAAAAAAGTTTTTAAGAATTTTGACTTTTATCACTCTTTCAAACAAAAACTTAAAAAAGTCTTATATATCATCTAATAAAAAAACTTAAATTTTTTTATTAAATGATATATCTATATTCTTTTAATTCTTTATATTAAACACTGCATTAAAAAAATTTATAACTTAACAATTTGTAAATAGTTGTTTAACACTTTTGTTAAAGGTATCTTACGACTGTATAACGCATCTCTCTATTTATAACGGAACCTTTTTTCTTTTTTTCTTTAAATTTGTTTATGTTATCAATTCTTAATTATTTTGTATCTTCAAGTATATTAAGTATATAAGGTTTATTTATTTATTTTGAGAATATTTTATAAATACGAAATGTTAACACGTAAACTTTTTAGCGGTTTTCGACGATAAGACCTTACGGTCTTCTACGAGTTCCCGCGTTCTTTTATTTCTTAATAACGATCATGTATATATATATATATATATATATATATATATATATATATATATATATATATATATATATATATATATATATATATATATATATATATATATATATATATATATATATATATATATATATATATATATATATATATATATATATATATATATATATATATATTGTTTACGAATATTTATTAAATTACAAAGTTTTAAAATTAAAGAACAAAAACAAAACAAAAATAAATAGATAAACTTATTTGTTGGTTGGACAGGCTATTCTGATAATTCTTGTGTGTTCGAAAACCCATTATACTTAGAATGCACGCAAAAAAGTTTCCTGCCAAATAATTTATCAAAAAACATAACAGGAAAAAATACATATACATTAATTTTAGGTGGTTCTGCATTTTCTTTGAAAGAATAACTAATGAAACCTTATTCAGATTGTGGGAAAAGGGAAAACAGTTTCAACTTTTCGCTGAGTAGATCTCGCGTAACCTCCAGATTGCGTTGAAGCAGAAGAAATTCGGTCTGCAATAAAACAATATATTTTAAGTTGTATAAACCTTATTAGTGATTGCAACACATATTTTTTCAAAATTAAGAGTCTTAATTTAAATATATATAGAGAATTAAGAGTCTTAATTTAAATAAATATAAGGAATTAAGAGTCTTAATTTAAAGAAATATAAGGAATTAAGAGTCTTAATTTAAAGAAATATAAGGAATTAAGAGTCATAATTTAAAAAATTATAAGGAATTAAGAGTCTTAATTTAAATAAATATAAGGAATTAAGAGTCTTAATTTAAATAAATATAAGGAATTAAGAGTCTTAATTTAAATAAATATAAGGAATTAAGAGTCTTAAATTAAATAAACAAAAGGAATTAAGAGTCTTAGTTTAAATAAGTATAAGGAACTAAGAGTAATAATTTAAATAAATATAAGGAATTAAGAGTCTTAATTTAAATAAATATAAGGAATTAAGAGTATTAATTTAAATAAATATAAGAAATTAAGAGGGCGCAGATAGCGCCCTCTTAATTTCTTGTTCTTTAACTTCCAGACATGGAGCAAACTCCAAATATTTATATGTTTATACTTATGTCAAATAGGGATGCTTTGCAAAAAATTGCGATGATTTTAACTTGGGAACAAAAAAGCCTTAAAATTTCCTCCCCCCCCCCCCCCCCGCTTTCTGCCCGAAACGTGAGAGCAACAAGTTGATGAAATATTTTTTGTACTATCTTCAACTAGACTTACATGCATCGATAAATTTTAAATTTCATAGTAAATTATCTTTGCATTCAAAAACTATGACCAAATTTAAACCCCCTCAATTTGAGGGGGTTGCAAATGTTTATTTATTTAAAGGAATATAAATATTCAGCTGTTATTATTATATTTATTTATTTATTAATAAAAGTATTCAGTTGTTGTTATTATGAAATTGTTTCGAAAACCTTTCTTTAATCAAAATACTTACTAATTTTGTAAGACTTTTCTGTCACATGCTTCTGCACTTTTTCTAGTGTTTTAACGCCGCCTTTTAGAAACTTCGACCAGGCTTGTATTGCGAACTCGAGATGCGGGCGAATATAAGTTATATACATTGTTCTCTAAACAACGATACCTCGACTGCGGAATGCTTTTTTCAGCCTACCAAGTACTTGATTGGCTGTTGAGGTTGCTGTCTCAACTTGATTTTTTAGTTTTAAGTATTCTGGGACTATGACGCCAAGGTCTCTTTCGTTTTTTGTAACTGCAAGTTTTATTTGTGATCCGACTTCGCTGCACATTGAATATGGTCGTGTTGATTTTTTGGTTCCACAGCCTATGTGCATTACTTTGCATTTTGCTACGTTGAAAGGCATGCGCCAAAATCTGGACCACTCCACGGCTTTGTCTATGTCATTTCTATAAAACTTAACAGTCATTTTTAGATTTAATGATATCAATGATTTTGCTATCATCGGCATATAATTTGATGTGATGCGCAATGTTGTTTGGAAGATCGTTGATAAAAAGGACAAATAATAATGGTCCTATAACCGAACCTTGTGGAACTCCACTTGATTGAGATACCCAATTTTGATATATGTCCTTTCATGACTACAAGTTGTTTGCGATCTGAAAACTACGCTTTGATCTAATTCAATTATTCACCACATACACAGAATGTCCTCAGTTTGCGTAGCAAGCGTCGATGAGGATCTTTATCAAATGCTTTGGCGAAGTCTGTATAAATGACGTCGGCAGCGTAACTTAGGTGAATGGCCTGTGTTAGGATGTCACGTGCCTCCAGGAGATTGGTTGTGCATCCTCGCTTGCGTACAAAACCATGCTGAGCTTTTGAAAGCAATTTATTGACAACGCAATGAGACATAACTTGATTGTGAATAATTCCTTCTTAGATTTTTCAGATAATTGAGGTTAGAGATACCGGTCTGTAGTTCGAAACATCAATTTTGCTTCCGTTTTTACAAACTGGCGTTATATTTGATTTTCTCCATAGATCCGGGACTACTCCCGTTGCAATTGGTTTGTTGAAAATAAGCGCTATTGGAGGGGCAAAAGCAGCTGCACAATTTTTCAAGATGCGTGGATGAACTTTGTCGCAACCCATTGATTTAGTTTCAACCAGATCATAAAGCCGTTTTTCAACCTCTTGGACTGTTATGTCACTTTCAAGTAGAGTACAATTGAATTTGAAATCTGTTTGCTTGTCAAACTGTGGCATAGGACTGAAATAAGTTGTTTAATATTTTGCGGTGTTTTTAGTTGTAGTAGATCTGCCTGGCATTCTGATGCACTTGATACAATCAAACATGTTGCTTATTTCGCACGTGTGCATGAAGAAGTTTTGTATTGGTTTTTGTTTCTCTAACAAATTTCTCCTTGTAAGTTAATATTGTCGACTTCACTACTTTAGCTACATTTTTGGATGCAGCCAAATGTGCCTTGCGAAGTGCCAGTTGAGTACGTCTACCAGACGCTCGATATTTTGCCCTAAGTTCGTGCTTCTTGTCGACTACAGCAATAACGTCAGGTGTGATCCATTTTTTTTTTTCGCTGCAAAGGGCGTCTTTGTTGTCGGAATGTGGAGCGAACTGCTTCATTGTATTTTTTAACGAAAATGATGTAGCTTTGTGTGAGAATGTGCTCCGAGATAGAGATCTTAATTAAAACTATATTTACGTTATTGTAACTTTATGAAGGCATTATACAGAAAATAAGTGATAAGAAATGTTGTAGTTTATCGTTAAATTGGCGACGAAGATAAAAGAAAAGAAATTTAAAATAAAATAAGAATATAATTACTATAAAATAAGATTTTAAAGTAATATCTTATAATTTGAAAGCGCTATCGACTGTACAACAACGCTACTCTACGCTCAAAAGAGAATATTTAGCTATAGTATACGCCTGAGAGCATAACAAAACATACCTATTTGGACACCCTTTTTAAATGTACAGCGATCATGAAGCTATTGTAAAGATTTTAAACAACCCAAACGCTACAGTACCACTTCGCATTGAGCGTATGACTTTACGATTACAGGGATATTTTTTTGATCTACACTACGTAAAAGAAAAAAATAATATATCTGATTATTCTAGTCGACACCCTGTAGACCCTTGTGAAGAACAGCTGAATACGCATGTCCTAAAGCCCTTTCACTACTGGATATTTAAAGAGAAACTAAAGCCTATCCTATTCTACAAATACTTACAGAGTTAATTACTACTAATACCTGGTATAAACTATTACATCCGAATTGTCTGTCAGAACTAAAAAAATTTCAAAAAGACTTAATTGCTTACTGTAATATACGCCAAGAACTTACAGTAAATCAGATTTCAGACCTTATTCTAAAAGCAAATCGAATTGTACTTCCACATTCTCTGGAAATTACGGTTATACAGCTTGCTCATAATAGTCACATGGGACTTGAGGAAACCAAATCATTTCTTAGAGAAAAAGTTTACTTTCCTGGTCTAGACACTAAAGTAGAAGAATATATAAAACGATGTGCAATTTGTCAAACAAAATGCACCAGCCAAACTATTAATCACACCAACACCAGAGGAAGTTTGGGACATCGTTAATATAGATAACCTTGGTCCTTTACCTAATGGATTTTATTTGGTAGTCCTTATAAACCAAACATCAAAATTTCCGGTTGTCGATATATAATACATCTGCTGACCTCCTTATTGATTTCTACAGAAAACGATTGCAGTATATGGAATACCGAAAACGATTGTCAGCAATAATGGACCACCCTTTACTTCATTCAAAATAAAGATGTTTTTGAACAAACTGAATATTCAACATAAACAAATTACCCCACTTTGACCGCAAGCAAACTCACAAGCCGAATCCTTTATGAAACCACTGATTAAAACAATACGAGCAGCACACATTGAACGAAAAGACTGGAAAAAGCAACTATACAACTTCCTGTTTTCCTACCGTCCACACCCTATTGCACAACCCGAATACCACCATCTACACTCATGTTTAATCGCGTTACAGGTTTCACAATACCTTCATTCCAATTAAGGGTCGATACAAATATCAATGATCAAGCCAAAAAGAGACAAGAAAATGCTAAGTTATACAGAAAAAAATATCACGATTTAAAATACCACGCAAAAAATCCAAGTTTAAATATCGGGGATATAGTACTGATAAAACAAAAAAAGTATAGCAAAATTATGGCACCATTCGAGTTCAAACCCTACACAATGACTGCAAAGAATGGTACAATGATAACTGCAAAATCTCCCGTCGACAATTCTCAAAAAACTCGAAATGCTTCACACATAAAGAAAGTACCAACGGATATACAATTTAATCCAATACCAATTAAAGAAGAGAAAGATGAAGAATACCTCCAGAACGAATCAATTTTGCCAGAAAAGGAAATAACAGCTACTATCTCGACACAACTAAGAAGCTATCATCAAGAACCGATTCTGAAGACATATCCTAACAGAGAATCACGTCCTATAGAATTATGGAGGAAGTATTAAAACATTATAAAACAAAAACAGTAAAACATTTCATTTACAGAAGAACGGGAAGATATAAGAATGTGCTCCGAGATGGAGATCTTAATTAAAACTACATTTACGTTATTGTAACTTTATGAAGGCATTATATAGAAAATAAGCGATAAGAAATGTTGTAGTTTATCATTAAACTTTGATCTGTAGGACAACCATAAAAAACTTCCAATTGCTAGCTTTTATATGCAAAGATAACGACTTGCAATCTGCCTTATTCCAGATAAGATGTCGGTTTTTTGATAAAGCATGAGTGTAGAGACCAGTCATAGCCATTGTGCCCTTAATAAGACAATGCGACTGTCCTATTAGCGTGTGAGAAGATTGGACTCTGAAACATCATGGATTTGGTCCAGTTCGTTGCTGATTATTTGGTCAAGAGTTGTTTTTGGTAATACAAGGCGCGATTGGCGGTACGTAAGGAAAGTTACCAACTGTGTCAAATGTGCTTCTGCAAGACATTCTTGAAGCTTCAAGTTTTGAGACCGTTCATTAATCACGTGGCCAGCAGTTGCCACTCCACCCCCAATGTTGATAGGCTCATACCACGTGTGGATAAAATTAAAATCACCATAAAGAAGCATAGCTGTACAATTTTCTATAATTAGAGCGTTCTTTGCTGCGGCTATAGATGCAATGACTTTGTCAAGTACTACGTTAAAAGGGCTACCCTGCAATTTTGAAACATTCATTTAATTAACATTTTTTCTTTTATGTTTTGTATATTATTTAGGTACACAGTAATTATTTTTTTGTTTCTAATTCAATAGCTAAATGTTTATACTTCAGGAAAAACATTTTTGAGACTTTATTTTTTATTAGTACATTGTACAATCTGTTTTTTCCTTAAGTGTCCAGGGCTACCCCCACGACTTTCCCCTATACAGAAAAAAATGTTTTGAAAAAAGTTTCATAAATATTATTTGCGTTATCATCAAAATTATGTTATTTTAACGCAGTAATGATAGTTGGTCTTAGAATTATTCGAGATTGGTCTCATTATAAATGCGTTCTTTCGTTACTTTTTTTGGTATTATTATTTTGTACTGGGTTTGTTTTTTGAAGTTTTAAAAATTGAGGAAAATGATCTGATATATCAGTTTTTAGGATACCTTTTTGTATATTAGTAAATATCAGTAATTATAATAATATCTATTATTGTTGATGTGTTTATTGTTACTCTAGTGAGTCAAGTAAATAAAGTAACTGATCATGTTTCAAAAATTGCATCATAAAATTTCCTAATTTTATGGTTATCATTATAGAGAAAACAGTTTATATTAAAGTATCCGACTTTTTTTTTGTAAAAACATGCTCAGGTTTTCACTCACGCCATCAGGTGACCGATAACAACAGCTTAGTAAAATGTTTTTATTAATAGTTTGTTTGTAATAGTATTTCAATACTATAAATATTTTTGATCACGGTTTTGATTTGCTCAAATCTTTCCTAAAAAATTACTCAAAATTTTGTGAACATAAATTAATACTTAAATTAATTCTTATTTAAGTATTAACTTATGTTCACATAGTTAATGCAAATTATGTTAGCATTAAACAAAGCTTATTTTTATTTAAACAAATATTATATTTATATTTAAAATATTATATTTATATTTAAACATAGCAAAAATTATGTTTAGCATTAAACAAAGCTTGCTACGGTAATGCATAGCAAATAACAGGATAAAACAGTTTTAAAAAATTTTAAAAAACAAACTATCATAGTTGCTACTACAAAATACAAAAGAAAGTTTTCAACGGGTACTTTTTTAAATTTTTATAATCTGCTTCACAATATTTTACCATAACAACTGCCTAAATTAGACATAAAGTTTTACCCATTAGTTATAAAATAACTTGTCTTTTTTTTTTAAATTTAAGCAAATTTTCCCAAGTTAAAAATTTCCTGGAAATTTTCGTTCTTAGCTAAACTTGAAAAACCTTTTATTTGCAGTTAAAAATTTAATTTCTAAAAACCAGGATATTTTAGAAATGATATATTTTCAACAAGTGTTTTGTCAAAAGTTGTTTGTAAAATAAAAATTACAAAACAAGCAAAAATTCTCAAATGAGCTACAAAATCGATTGGATACATATTGGAACGAGATTAACATTTACAAGTCTTCTAAAAAATTATCATTTGATATGCAAATTTATAAAATGACCTCAAGACGCTATTTTAAATTATTCAAAAAGTGTATGTTAACAAAATTTTTAATGATATTCTAAACTTTCTTTGCATTTTATATAAATTTTTTATTGAAATGTAAAAAATCGAAAAGAAAAAGTAATATTTAGATTTAAACACTTTAAAGTATATGAAAGGGAAATACCAAACCAACAACAACAACAAAAGTTATTCAAATCTGTATCCTCATTATAAATTAACCAATCGAAAAGTGAATAAAAATGTAAAAAATCGGAAAACTTTACAAATCTCTAATACTTTAATATATACACAAAAACAAGCGTGTCATATATCGCAATGCATCCTAATTTTTCTTGAGAGTTCAAAGCTTGTATTGAACAACAAAAGCTTCGACCAGCGAAGTTTTAAATGAAATTCTAACAAATATCTATTCACATCAGATTACAAAAAAAAAAAAAAAAAAAAAAAAAAAAAAAATCTGCGCTCTAAGTTGAACTTAAAGTTTTGTTCAAATACAAAAATTCGAAGGACAGAATGCATACGTAAATATAGAACACGTCATGAGACAAATTGTATACGTAAATATAGAACACGTCATGAGACAAATTGTATACTTAAATAGCTTTGTAGTCAACGGTCATTATAAAAGTTTAAAACTTCTGAAAAAATGACGTAACAAAAATTAAAACATAAATATTTTACAAAAATAAACAAAAAAGAAATTTTATATATTATGTGTACTAATTCTCATTTATATGGGGAGATTTCGCAATCCTCTTTGAGTTAAACCTTCGAATCTTTTGAATGTATAGTTTAAAAATACCCAGTCTTTGTTTGATAACTCGTTGTTATCTGGAAGTGGGTCTAATAAAAAGAAAAAAAATGATATGCAACATTTAGTTTTTTCAATTCAAAAAATATAAAAACCTAAATGATACAATTATGCTTTATTAGAAAAAAACTTACTCCACGATAGATCAACATCAGGAAAATCATCAAAATTGGAAGTGTCATCTATACTTTTTACTTCTACAGGAATAGCAGCTGGTCGATCTCTGAGTATTGAACAGAAACACACATTAAAGAGACTTAAAAATAAAAACTTCTAATAGGAAAATAAATACTTCTAATAAAAGAATAAATCCTTCTGACAAAAGATGAAATACTTCTAATAACCTCTGGTGACAAAAATTTGCCACAATCTTTGATCAATTAAAACTTATTGAATTCGTAAATACACAGCCTCGCTTTTTTTTGCTTATAAAGTGTTTTCTTATACATAAATTTTGTCTATTTAGACTAGTTAATAGAAAAAAATGTTGCCGACTACTTTATTTAAACGGAATTTTAACAAGAAAAATTGCAAATAAAGTCAAGTGTGATCATTCCTAAATTGTAAAAACATTAAAAAAAAAAACAAACATTTGTTACTTTAAGGAAAAAAAACCCCTCTGATTACACTGATAAACAGTTAGAGTAGTTGCAACTCAAGCGTAAAGGAATTTGTCACAAATTCTAAAAAATCAGAGTTGTGCTTTACATTTAAACATACAAATAAAAATTCTAATGCTGGATTTTACTCAGATAATCTAAAAAATGCAACAAAAAATGTAAAATATAAGTGCAAAAGCAAATTTGAAAAAAAAAATTTGTGTGGATTTCCATATCCCCGTATGGAATCTCTCAACCTTTTATTAATCTTGCGTGACTGGCAACCGAAGAGTGCAAAAAAGGATTGCATCATGAAAAGATAGATTCTTTTTATTAACAAACATCACAGTGATGATAATTATGCATTTTGGCCTGATAAGCAGCCATTTTCACATATCTCTGTTAAGCTTAACGGAGCTTTTTTCTGAAATTTCATTGAAATATTTCTAAGTAAAGAAATGACGAAAACTTTATTTAAATTTGTTTAAACTAAAAAAAACATTTATGTTTAAAGAGTGCTTACTATTCTGTGTTGATTTTTTGTTTTTCAATTTTTCTTTGTACAATTACTACTTGAGTTAATTATGTGCCAAATTTTTGTCACCAGAGGTTAGAACAAAAAATACCTTTTATAGGTTAATAAAAATAAGTTTTTCTTTGTTTTACAACTTGAGTTAGTTATGTGCCAAATTTTTGTCACCAGAGGTTAGAACAAAAAATACCTTTTAAAGGTTAATAAAAATAAGTTTTTCTTTGTTTTTGCAATTGATTATACTAATGTGGTAACCTTTAAACAAAAAAAAAAAAGGGGGGGGGCATAAATTTTACATAACTATAGCTTCGAAATACTTTTTCAAAAATGTTTTTAAATTTGTCTTTGAATTTTTATCAAATTTAAGTTTAAAAAATTTGCTATCAAAAGACATAATAAGAAATGCGCTTAGCATTCTCAGTTTTAAATTTATTAATAGTTTTAAAAAAGACTTCAGTCAATATAATTTTTGCAAAAATAATTCATACTCAGATAAACTAAGAATGCAAACATTTTATTTTATCTTAGTTTGAATTTTTTTTCGGTTTCCAGACATTAAAATCACCTCAACCACTAAAAAACTTACATGCTCAATAGATATACCTTATATGTTCCCAGTCTACCCCTTTAAAGAATGGATGAGATTGAATTTCTACTATGCCTTCATTTTTCCCAAGTCGATGGTCCGCATCAGTACAAAAGCTATGTAAAAGAAAAAAAAAAAAAAAAAAAATATATATATATATATATATATATATATATATATATATATATATATATATATATATATATATTAAAATTGTAACATAATGCAAAACAAAAAACAAAAACAAAAAACGTTTTATATATTTTAATTAAAACATTAGTGTTTTGAGTAAAATACACTAAAATAACACTTTTTTAATATTTAAGCTGGCTATATATATATATATATATATATATATATATATATATATATATATATATATATATATATATATATATATATATATATATATATATATATATATATATATATATATATATATATATATATATATATATATATATATATATATATATATATATATATATATATATATATATATATATATATAAATACTGCTTTTTATATATATATATATAAAAATACTGCTTTGAAATTTTTATTTTAAGCAAATGTATTCCATCAACATTACAGAATGATGGAATACATTCGTAGATGGGACTTGTATTCAGTAATTAGAGTCTCTCAATCACATTTCTTCAACACATCTCTCTAACACATCTCTCCAATACATCTCTTCAACACATCTCTTCAACATAACAATTTCTAAAAATTTTTTTTCATTGTTACTAATTGTTATTTGAAAATTATGATTCAGACATCATAGAATTCAAGAATACCTTAACTAGCGATCGGTTGTATGTTTCCCTTTGAGCTTTTATTTAAAATAAGGCCAAACAGAACAAACTCATTTGACACCAATATCTAATCTTTTCATAATTGGAATCTGGTTATTAAAAAATGTTTTTGTTTTTTAGTTAAAAAAAACTTTTATATCTATTGGCTTCTTTTGTTTTTTCATTGCTGATTATGCTTTATTTTAGAAAATACTTAAAGGTTTGTTTCTGCTCTTGGCTTTACTACACGTTTGTCTCATTTTAATTTAGAGAAAGATGTTTTAGAAAATTGTTGAACACAATTTAAGTATAAGTATTTAACAATTTAACAATAATAAATTAAGTATAAAATAAAACTGTTATCAATCTGGTCAAAAACTAATAAAGAAAAGTATTTATACGTTGTCAGTCAAACAGTAAACAGTTGCATAAACGCACTTGCAACATATATACACAATGATGTGTTTTAATGGAATAAAATCAACAAATTCTAACTCAAAATAATCTCTGTTTACTAAAACAATACCAAATTTTATAGGTTTATATGTTTTATTCTAACTTGTCTATTATAGTGTGCTTTTTTTGATACACAATCTAAATTTTTGAATCATTTCTATCAATATAAGACTTTTATAAATTTTATTTTTCTTAAAAAAAAAGCCATAAATAAAAAAAAATCAATTAGAAACTAAAATACTTGAGTATAAGATTCTTTGCAGTATTTGTAATTGGCATCTCTATAGGAAATACAAGTGTTTCACGCCAGTTTAGCACTTTCCGATAAGTCTCTAAAAGAATTGAATGTTATAATAAACGTTATTGTAATAACATAATATTTCAAAAAAATACTTAAATAAAAATACTACAAAATTCTAAAAGTGCATTCACCTCCTCTAGAAAAAAATGCATTCACCTCTTCTAGAAAAAAATGCATTAACCTCTTCTAGAAAAAAATGCATTCACCTCCTCTAGAAAAAAATGTATTCACCTCCTCTAGAAAAAAATGCATTTACCTCCTCTAGAAAAAAATGCATTCACCACCTCTAGAAAAAAATGCATTCACTTTTTCTAGAAAAAAATGCATTCACCTCTTCTAGAAAATATGCATTCACCTCCTCTAGAATTACAACAGTCAAAATGTTTACTTACAATATGTGTTTTATTTTTTTCAACGTTGTTACAAAATTTTTTTAATACTAAGAATTTTAAATAAAATATGACTTAAATGAAAATAAAACATGAAATAAAACACTATAACTTTAGTTAATATATATTAAATAAATATTTTTTAATACTAAAATATGACTTAAAATATGACTTAAATGAAAATAAAACATAAAAATAAAGCATCATGACTTTGAAATGGTTTTAATTGTTTCAAAAATATGAATTTATTAATGAACATCATTTATTAATTGAAATGACAATTTTCTAAGGATTTGGCATTAATTTTAGCAAAACTAAAAACATTACAAAGTGTTGTTGCAATTTTGAATTAAGTTTTGAAAAAATGATGCAATTAACTGTAAATTTTTGTATCAAAGAAATATTTCTTGTTACAAAAATTTACAGTTAATAGCAAGTATGTTTATTTTTCAATTAAGCAATGTTTTATTTTAAAGTCTTAAGGTTAAGAGAATTTGTAACAACATCGAAAACAATATATAACAGGTGTCCCCTCAAAAACAATATATAACAGGTGTCCCCTCAAAAACAATATATATAACAGGTGTCCCCTCAAAAATGGAACAACAATAAAACATTTTAAAAAAGTATGTTTTTTTGAAAAAACAAAAACAAAAACAAATCAAGATTATTTTGTTAGATTAATGTATATTTAATATTTTTAATCAATTTATTTCTGGTAATCCTTCAAGACGAACTGCATTCAGTCTTTTTTTAGTCAAGCTCCCAAACTCCTGTACTACCTCTAAAGTGATGTACTACCTCTGAAGTAATTTTTTTAAACAATACTTTATTCTTCCAACTAATTTTTATACATTTTAGGCTTCCCACTTTACCTTATGACTAAACCATTCAAATAACCTCAAAAGTCTACTATTGGTCTTACCTCAGTACAATTGGCAGGATTACTTTTTTTAAGAACATAATTGATACTTTTACTGTCCAGCAAAGCAATGATATTTTTGGCATAATGAGCTGAAACTCAACAGGCCAAAGAATGTAATTGTCATCAGGTTATTGTTTGAATGGAACCAAAATATTTTCAATGCAATCTTTTTTGTACGTATTTTTGTTATCAGAATAGCCAGATTGCTTGATTACTGGTCAAGTCATTCCTTTGGGACTAATTGCAAACCATACTAATACTTTGCTTTCAAATATAGCTTTTCTTTTCTACTAAAGGTCTGGAGAAGCAGGTCACTGGAGTCATTCCCAACAACTGCAGAGTTTGACAAAGTAAAATATGATTCATCTGAAGCGTCTGAGCAGCAAACGAGCTGTCACTCGCAATTAGGGTATACGACAGCTCTTTTGCTGAGACCATTTTGATATTGATTCCGGGTGATCATATCTGAGCATGTGTAATCAAAATTTTGATTTTTTTTGGTCCTTTTCTAATGGTTGCTTTAAGATTATTGTCAAAATAGGCAGCAAGACTTGACTTTACTTTTTGTCATTTTATTTTCTGTACCTAGTACACATATCTTTTAATTATACAATATACAGTTTTTTTCAGAACATTTTCCACTTTAAAATGATTGTAAGTAAATGATTAAAAGTAAACAATTTTCCTTGTGTAATGTTATTTTTGTAGAACTTGCACACACATTTTCATACATCTACTTTTTTGAACTCATTTTTATAATGAAAGGAAAGTTTTTTTACAATTAATACATTTTTTGTAATTGCATAGCGTCTAGTTTATGTAAACATTATTATTTTGTAATATTATATATAATAATAATACATTATTATGTAAATGTTATTATTTAACATTTGCTCATAAACTATTACATTTTATGGATTTCTATTTTTGAGGAAACATCCATTATTTAATTTTTGATTTATGGAGAAAGAATCAATATTATTATGAAAATGTTTTTTGATTTTAATAAGTGACAAAATTTATGATTTTATCATTTTTATAAAAATGAATTATTTTGAAAATGAGTTTCCAATTCATGACTGGAAATGTCTGTGAGGCAGAATTTGAAGCTTGATTTCAAGATAACTTGTATTTAAAACAAATTAAATTCTATAAATAGTAAAATGAAATTGACAGATAATTTAAAAGATAATAATTTTATCAAGGTTGTTATTAAATTCTTAAAATTTTTTTTTACAAGTCTATTTACCTTGAGGTGTTTCAGAGCAAAATGGGGGGTAACCAATAAGCATTTCAAACATAATTACACCCAGTGACCACCAATCACAAGATTTTTCGTAACCACCTTGTGTAAAAACCTCAGGAGCTATATAGTCAGGTGTTCCAACAGTCGAATATGCCTATTTAAAAACAATTTATAGTGTATATTTATCAAATAAGTCAAAACTAATAAAAAAAAATAAATTACCATCTGACGTCGATTGCGCTTCCAAGTCATTGCTTTTTCCTTAGTTCCAACACTACTACCTAGATGAAACAAGTATGGTCTGAAATATGGTCTGGTATAGACTGATCTTATAGCATTATTTCAATAATATATTTAAAATTTATTGTTTGAACAAATAGAGTATTCTCAGAAGTTAAAAGAATGTCATAGTGTTAGTGTGGCATCATAATAACAAATTCCAAAGTTTGCTTTAAATCCTTTGAATATATTTTAAAAAAGTAAACAAATTTGCATAGATAACCATGTATTTTTAAATTTCCAGAACATATAACACTAATTTGTGTGTTAACAAATTAAATTACATTAGAACTAATCAGCATATATTAATATGCTGATTTAGTTCTAATGTAATTTAATTTGAATAATATATTATGAATTCTTGAAAGAAAATACTTTATAACCAATTGAAAATTAGCGAATGTTTCAACTGCTTAAGAAGCTTCAAAAGCTGCTACAAAAAACTTGACACACATTTCGATTTTTTTTTTAAATTAACTATTAGTAATTGTAAATCTCAAATTCAACAAGTTTTACATTTATTTTTGTTATTGACAATAAATTTTACAAAGTAATTTTTTGTATTTTACAATGAATTTTGTAACTTGGTTGTGAAAAAAAATTTTTTGTTTAACACTTTAAGTGTTTTTATAAATATTTAGAAAATCCTTTTAACATTGAAACTTGAACAAAGCTTTGTACTTTTTTTTTGTTTTTTTGTTAATAGTACTTTGTACTAACAACAAAAAAACTTCATTTATTAATACATTAAATGAAAATGCTCTCAGTGTTTACTTGGTCAATATCTTCCACTTAACGAAACTCGTCAATAGAACCTAATTATGGTAAAAGATTCAAAATTTTAGAGTAGCTAAAAAAACATAACCTTAAAAAACAACCAAACTCAAGCAAACTCAACACCAAAAAGGAAGCCTTGAATCAGATATAATATGTGATAACTAAAAATCTGGACAAAATTAGAAATTATATAACTTTTTAACGGAATGATCAATTTTAATAATTTAAAAAGTATAATATCAAAAAGTATTTAAATAAAATTTAAAAAAATTATAAGTTTTTCATGCCATGACAACAAACGGTGTCTACTCTTGTAAATGTTGCGGCAGCTAGCTGATGTACACGTTCTATGTTGATTTTCTTAATTGAAAACTCGATCCGCTTTTTAAGTTTACCTAGATTTCCAGCTTGCCAGTTTTATTCTTATCTAGATGCAAATCCAAAAATGCTTACACTCATTTTCTAAGGGAGTTTTTGTTACAAGTTTTTTTTTTTAATTTTTAATTATTACTAAATAAATTTTTTTTTAATAATACATTTAAAGAATTAAATTTGTAACAAAATAGAAGAGATTGCAATTATATTAAATTATTCCTTCATATTTTAATATTTACTCAAACTTTGTCCAGATTTTTAGTTATCACATGTTAATATATCTGATGGTTATATTTTTTTCACAGAATATTTAATATTAACTAATTTCTCTCATTTTTATAGTTCAACAGCTAATTTCATAAAGGACACCAAGATTTAAAAACTTTTTATAAATAACTAATTTTGAACTTATCCCCAATGAGAATTAAGTTTAGGTCTTTTAAGTCCCCAAATATGTTTACATAAAAAAGACCAAAATCAAGACTATAATATTTAAGTGATTTAATAAAATAAACTTTGACATAATTGTATGGGATGTAAAGAACTTTTTGGGATGTAAAGAATACTGCTTCATTTCTCTCATTGTCGTAAAGTTGGATCTCTTTCTCTTTTCTACAATTAATATCATGGTTGGTGCTCAATAGAGCTATTATCTCTAGTTCCATTTACTAAAACTCATTCTCGTTTGACTGGTCATTTAGCAATTTCACATTCTTTTACTGTATCTGTCCCAGCATGCTCTATAAACTTTTATTTGTCTAGTTTTTTCCTCTGCATTTCAACCCTTTGGAACTCTCTCCAATCTTTTTTCATTACTAATACACTACAACTACACCTAAAACTTTTCAAGTCTTTCGTCAACTGTTTCCTTACTCTTTAATTCTAACCCTTTTTTTTTTAAAGTAACTTCTAACTTAATAGCGATTCCTTGTTGCCTTGTTGGGAGTGAATCAGAATTAAAAAAAAAAATCAAATTATGTTTAGAAATCAAGCATCATATAATTCTAGATTGATCAAACAGCATAATACTATTTAAAAATTTCATAACTTATTTTAATACTTTCAAAATTTCAAAATTAATGGCTTTACTAACATAAATCACCAACTGCAGCAGGTGTTATTCCTCTATAAAAATCAGTACGATGAGCTTTTTTCAACCCAGTACACAAGCCAAAATCTGAAAGTTTGATATGACCCTGCAAAAAATATATTTAAAAATAAACGTAATATAGTAAGTAACCTACTACAATTCTTATAAATGAAGAAACATTACACAAAAATTTAAAAGCAGCAAAATAAAACATTTTAAAGTATAAATTGATAACTATTTAAACAAAACATAGAGAAAAAAAAATTATTAAAAACTAAGCAATACCCTTGCATCTAACAACAAGTTGTCTGGCTTTATGTCCCTAACGATAAAAATTATTTATTTAAAATATTTCCAATAAAAGATTACTTCCAATAAAAGATTAGTTTTTAATAAATTAAAAAACTGCAAAATACAAATAATAATGGTAACATTAGTTTTGAAAAATTAAAAAAAAAAAACAATAATACTTTATAGATTTTATAAATTATCAACTGAGTATTTTGGTTTAGACAAGCAATCTGTCAATTTAAAAAAAAAATCTTTTGAAAGTTTTTCAATCTGGTTTATTATTAGCGATTGATTTAAAAGAATTGTATATGGTTAAATCTTTTTGAAGACTATGCTGAGGTTTAAAAAAACACCATAAAATTGCTAGATTACAGTTTGCTAAAAACCATATGTATTGGACTCATGAGTGGCAAAACGTAATATTTTCAGATGAGAAAAAGTTCAATTTAGATGGTCCGGACTCTTACAGTTGTTGACCCACAAACAAAACGAAATTATGGTGGAGGAAGTTTAATGGTTTGGGGTGGATTTTCTTATTCAGATATTGACTCTGTGTTGTGGTTTACCTAAAATGAACTTTTTAAAGTATACAGAAATGTTGGATGATGTTCTCATAGCTTATATGGATGAAAACATGGACGATAATGCCATATTTCAGCAAGATAATGCTGCAATTCACACATCTAGGCATTCTATGAAATGGTTTAAAGACCATAACATCCCGGTTCTTGAATGGCCAGCTTGTAACCCGGACTTAAATCCAATCGAGAACGTTTGGGGAATGCTAGCAAGAAAAGTTTATGATGCTAAAGCAGCCGGACACCAATTTAAAACTGTTACCGAGTTAAAGTGTAAAATCCTTAAAACATGGTCCGAGTTGGATCAAACTACACTTCAACGACTAGTGGAGTCAATGAAAGGCAGAATTTTTGAGGTGATCCAGTGTAATGGAGGACATACGCATTACTAATTTCCTTTTTTTAATGTCAAAAATATGACTGCGTCTATTAGAGATGTACCGATTAATCGGCATCGGCATCGGCTTAATCGGCCACTTTTTGCACAATCGGTATCGGTATCGGCATCGGTCTTTCTTTATCAATTTACCGATTTTCCAACCGATGGCATTTTTTTATTTTTATCCCTAAAATTGTATTTATTTTTTGAAAGTTTTCTTTTCATAGTTAAAAAAAAGTAAAAAATGTATATTTATTTGATTGAGCTTTTCTAATATCTTTTGAAATAAAGGTTTGACTCTGATTTGGGTCCAAGTATTTGCTTACCAGTTCTGATTCCATGAAAAATTTTACACGATTTAAAGATGTATGGTTTTATACTATCAAATTATAATAGCTAGTTAATCTATCGGTATCGGCATCGGTATCGGCCTTTTCCTATCCATCGGCATCGGTATCGGCATCGGCCAAAAATGTGCAATCGGTACATCACTAGCGTCTATAGATATATTCCAATTAAAGAATGTACTTTTGTATATCAAACATACTCTCATGTTAATAAAGACACAGAAAAAATTTTTTTGTGATTTTTATTAGCCGACAACACAACAATTATTTTGATAATAACTTGCATGCATATCAGTTAACAATTCATAGAAAAAAAATTAAGATAAAGAGAAAAAAATTGATGCGTCTAAACGAATATGCCTCAGTGTATATCAGAAAAAATTGATTTCAAGGATTTTCAACAACAATTTTCAATCAGGATTTTATCCAGGATAAGAATGTACTTGGCAAGCTGTGCAGATCACTCGCCTCAATAGTCATGGATATGGCTTTTTCAAGAAACAAAAATTATAATATTTTGATAAGTTTTGATATTTCCACTTAACTTTTATTTTGTTCCCTCTTCATTCCAGGGATAGTAAAAAGATATGTTAATTTTTTTTAGCTCTTAAACATTATTTTAAAAGTTCATTCATTTCTCTTCTACTTTGTGAATAAAAATGAATATTAAAAATTTGTTCAAAATTCTCTTTAATTTTATTCATCATGTTCAATTATTTTAAGCATTTGGTACTATGTTAACCAAATATATCTTTTTTAACTTTATTACTGAATTTCTGGAAAAAATAAAAATGATCAGAAACATTTAGGATATGTGTTTGGCTTTAGACAAAAATTACAAAGTAATTTTGACTAAAAGTAGTATATGCTTTGATATATTACAATCATTGTGTTTGATATATTACAATCATTGTGTTTGATATATTACAATCATTGTGTTTGATATATTACAATCATTGTGTTTGATATATTACAATCATTGTGTTTGATATATTACAATCATTGTGTTTATGATACAATTTATTGTTGATAATTTAATGTACAATAAAAATAAAAATGATAATCTATTAAAAAGGCAAAAATTGTTAAAAAAAACTAAATATAGACAAAATAATATCTAAATATTTTATGTTTCATATTTTGTTAAAACTCCTATTCAAGCAATATTGTAAAATCATAACAGTATTAATACAATAAATTTTATGAAAAATTAACAGAAGCTGCAGTCACTAAGGAAAATTACTCAGAAAACATATGGCATTTAAATGAAAGAGTTGCTGTTGATAGCTTTGCTAATAAATCTTTAAGAAAATTTTTGAACTTTTTAAAATGATTTGTAATATGTCACACTACACAAAAGAACGCAGCCTTTCAATTTAATATGCAATGAACTTCAATTTTATGAATACTAAATTTGCTAAATAAATTGATTGATAGAACATAATTAAGATCAATTGAAAGGAACTTCCTGTTTTTATTTTTTGTTTTTTTAATTTTAATTCACTCCCAACAAGGTTGCAAGCAACCACTATTTAGTTGAGGGTTACTAGATAAAAAAAATAATAAAAAGTTTAAGAGCAAGGAAACAATTGACAGAAGACTTGAAAAGTTGTAGGTTAAATAATTCAGGAAAACATGAAGATGGGAGAAAGTTCCAAAAAGTTGAAGTGCAGGGAAAAAAACTAGATGAATAAAGAAGAGCACTAAGGAAGAGGGTTGCCATTCATCAATATAGACAGCATTGCTATAGTTGTTTGCAGTAAGAATATAAAGAGAATATATAGTTATATAGTTAGAGTATATAGTTGTTAGAATATATAGTTGTTAAAGAATATATAGTTATTTGCAGTAAGAATATAAATAGAGAAACTGAGTTTTGTTGAAGTTAAAATTTACTAGCCGCTGCAAGCCCCAAGCTGTGAGATCAAAATCAAGATCAGCTGCCTGTTCTAAACAATCGAAAAGGGAAGACTTTTTGTTGAGACAGGAGTATAAATGTGATAAATCAGCAATTAGAGCCACTTTAGGTGTAAGATTGTCAGAAAAATCATTAATGTAGACAAGAAACAAAACAGGACCAAAGCTAGAACCTTGAGGTACCCAAGAAGTTACTGGAAATAAGGAAGAGTGTTGGCCTTGAATAGACTTTAATGAGGGTTTGAAATAAACAATTTGATAATCTCAAAGAATTCTTCCTAGAAACACCATATGAAGCAAGGTTATTAAGACCAGCATGCCAAAACGTATTGAAAGAGCAACAGCCTTTGCCTCCTGGCCTCCTTCGAATGCACAACAAAATCTCTCAGTCACAGCAGTTAGCAGGTCAGCGGTAGAGCAAGGAGGTCAAAAACCGTTTCACTTGTCTGACAGTAAGCTATTTGAGTCAAGATGCTAATAACAGATAAAAGACTTAAGGGATAATAGTTGAAGGGGTCAGAATGTTCTCCAGAGTTTTTCAAAATTGGAGCCACAGATATCATTTACCAGAAGGTAGGAAAACAATATTCAGTCAAGCACTTATTAAGTTGTTTAGAGAGAATTAAAGAGAGTTCTGAAAAACACTTTTGCAAGATTATGACAGGAATGTTGTCTGGACCACAAGCCATAGAAGAGCTCATATGAGATATGACTTTAGCAATGGAAGCTGGAGTGATTTGAATGTCTAACAATGGGTTAACCTGTTTAACTGGAATTGAAGGAAGAGTAAAGTCAATAGACTTAAGAGTCAAATTAGAAGAAAAGTTCTTTGCAAATAACTTAGCCTTATTCTTGGGGGAGGTAATAAGATCAGTCTTATAAATAAAAGTTAGACTGAAATGTTAGACTTAACCTTGTTAGTGATGCTGTTGAAGATTTTCCAAAAGTCTCCTGAGTCTAATTTCTGAAATAAGATACGAGATTTACTATACTGGGAATATTTAAACTAAGCATCAGACCTTTTAACATTGATTTCTTGCAATAATAAATAGGTATTTGTTCTTAAAAGAGTTGTTCTTTTGAAAAAGATAAAAAAATGAATGTGATTAGATATAGTAACTGCACAAGTAGGCAAAAACTATGGAGTAGGATGAACCTTTACTTGGAAAAAATGAGGAATAAAAAGTTTCTGTACCTGTCTAGATCCAGGAGTTAATGTAGGAGGCAGATTTATCAGCAGAGAGAGAAAAGACATTAAACTTAGGACTGTCAGGAAGAAAATCATGAAATGAATCCCAGTCAGCTGGTACTCAGGGTAGTAGTAGGTTGTGTGATGATAAGGAAGATAACATAAGAACACAAGCTAGGGTCAAAGACAAGACACTAATTAAGGAATGAAGGTAAGTAATTAGGGTTGTCTGGAGTAAAAAGTTAAATATCTGAGTAAGAGATTGAGAAATACATAAGTTATGGGCTTTAGTGCCAGCTAGGTCAGTGGTATTAGAGCCAAGCCATTCAGTGTGATGAACATTAAAGTCACTATTAACAACAATATTGGGGAAATATAATAGAGGAAATAGAGGAAATAGAGGGGAAACAAGAAAGGGCATTTAAAACAGTGCAAAAAAAAGAGAATGATAAAGAACAAAGAGAAAAGTGATAGAATAAAGAGGTACTAAGCAGAAGCACATAAAAGAATTGTCAGAGAATTTAAATCTGATTTCTTGACAAATAGCTGAATTGATGTGTAAGTATATATTGTTATCGTAAGCCAAGCATGGATAATACCCATTAATACTGATCTGAAGAAGATCTAAAAAAGGAACAGATGAATTTAAATTAGTCTCACAAAGGGAAAGAAAGTCGTTACTTTGAAGACCACAAATATTTGTAAAAAATATATTGAAACAGTTAGGTGGTAGGGATAGTTTTTTATGTTTTATAACATTAACTGAGTATAAACCCTATGGATAGTTTTATGTTTAACAAATTTATCTGTGTATAAAGCCTTGTGAATTTATATTAAAAAAAAAGATTTTACTTGTGTATAAATACTTAAAAAAAAAAAAAATTTACCTGTGTATAAATCCTAGTGAATGTATAAAATTAATAGCTAATATTGATTCAGTCATATAAAACTGCGTTTGCGACTCAGTGAATGTGTCTTTGCGTATAAGTAAGGTCATCAGATCACCTGTTAACATAAAAGAACATTTGAAAAAAATTGATTCAAAATTAGTTTTATTGACAACAAAAACAAATATAAATATTAAACCTCCAGGGAGAAACTCCATAACTAAATACAAACAGCTCACATCTTGAAATGAATAATACATTTTAACTACCCAAGAGTTATCTGATTCAGCAAGAATATCTCTTTCAGCTCTAACGTGTGCAACCTATTTCAAAAGATAAACATTAAAACTTGATTTTAATTTGGCAAAAAAACGTCATAAAAATAAACACATAAAAGGAGACTTCGGTAAAATAATTTATAATTAATTTTTAATAAAACTTAAATTAAGGCTATTTCAAAAAAAAAATTTAATAATAAAAATGGAACTTTATTTAAACGCAGCTAAACAAATATTGAAGTTATTAAAAATTTAATCAAAAGATATTTTTTTTTAAAGTTATAATTTTTATAACTTTTTTCCTAAACTGTCATATTTTAGACTTTTTTTTTATTTTAAAAAGGTATATCTTTCAAGTAGGACATTTTTCGAATCTCCATTTTTTGTGTGGAATCCACATTTATTTTTAAAACTCTATAAAAGTAGAAAAAAGCATTCTATTGCCATATTTTTTAAAATATGAAATATATCCCTAATTTATAAAATAAATAATAATTTATAAAATTAACATTAATAATAATAATTTATAAAATTAAAACCCTAATTTTTGTAAAAATAAACTTTCAGAAAAACTTTACACTTCTTTCTTTCAATTCAACATAACAGTTATAGAGTTTATCAAAAACTTTACAAAAAAAAAATTCCTTTTGAAATTAAATCCCTGCTAGTCACACATTAGTCATTTTTAATGTCAAAAAAATATAAAGTTAATTAAAGATGTTTGATGAAAAAAATTTATGAAAAATAATAATACATTTTTTGAGCATCAAAAAACAGATAAAAGATGCAAGGATTCCTAAAAAAAAAGATGAAAAATGCAAGGATTTCTAAGTGAAAAGAAAGGTTAGATTGAGTTTTGATCGGTGGAACAAGAGCTTATACTCTGTAAGAGCAGCAACTATGGTAGTATTTCTAGAAATTAAAAAGAGATGCAAACTTATGAAAATGGGTCAGAGGCTCAAGCTAGGTAGTGACAGCATGTTTAACTACATTTTACATTCTATTACATCTATTTTTAGGCCCTGTTTAAATGAAAAAAAAAGCTTAAATATACCAACATTATTCCATACAAAGGTCAAAATTAAAAGACGCATAGAATAAAATTAAGGTAAGAAAACAAAATTTTCTTGATTTTATTCTACTCCTCTAAACAGCTTTTTACAAAAACTTTTTTGTGCAAGCTATCTGTTTATTCATTACAAATTTATTTTTATTTGTTACAAACATATGCTTATAATGTTACAAGTATAAATACATAATGAGCATTGTTTATTGCGCCGTGAAAACTTATGAATTATTCTGTTTTTGAAAATTCTTTAGACAAGCATTTTCTTTGGGTTTTTGTACTAGCTTTTATTCATTTATTCATTAACAACTTTAAGTATTCAAAAAAAAAAGTGATAAACAAAGAGTTATAAAAACTTAATCTGTTTATAAAAAAATATTTTATATTTTCCTAATGTAATATATTACAACAATTAAAGATTCTGCAATTAAAATGTTTATATAATTACAGTTATTTTTAGCAAAACATTTAAATGTGCATGATATTTTTTTATTTTGCTTAAATTGAGACAAACTTTTGTAATTCATTATTATACAAAATATATAACTCATTACATAACATAAAATTTTTATGCAACAACTTATAACCCCCCCCCCCCCTCCTGCAATAACCATGGCTTTAAAAAAGTAATGCAGTATTATACAAATGTTGATTTATTTTGAAAAAGAATTTTGCATTTTTCATCTTAGATAAAATGATAATGCATTTTATTATAAACAACTTTGCAAACTTATGTGATTAATGTTATAATGATTTTTACACTGTATTTTACATTTAGGAATTTATAAAAAAAAATCTCTCTACACTGCATATCTGCGTTTGAAATAAAATAAAAAAGTTTTTTTTTCATTAATTCTATTATAACTTTATATTATAACTATGAAATATTTATATTTCTAAAATTTATTATTTATAATACTAAAATTCTGTTTACTAAAACTATAAATAATTCTGGTTACCAAAAAATTATTGTATAGAATAAATTATGTTAAAAAGTCAACAAGTTGTTAAATTAGTGACTGTAGAAAAAATCTGAAACTCAAACATCTTTTTTATATGATGTAGTTTACATCAGAATTTTTAATTTTTCTTATCAATATTTAAAAGTAGAAAAGAAAGTGATTGTATTCATGACAAAACTATACTTTTGTGAGAGCCATAAATTGCTATTGTAAATCACTTTAGGGGAGTGTGGGCAAGAGTAAAAGCTCTTACTTCCTACCAGAGCCAAAAAGTATATCTAAGACCTTAAGTAGAAAATTCATCCAAAAAGACCTTAGGAAAGAACTTATCATCATCATCACCATCACCATCATCACCAACACCACCAGCACCAGTACCACCACCACCACCACCATCATCATCATCATCATCATCATCATCATCATCATCATCATCATCATCATCATCATCATCATCATCATCATCATCATCATTACCACTATCATCGTCATTATTGCACATTCATCCTTTCCTTTTTTTTTTTTTTTTTACAGTTGAGAATTTTTTAAAATTGTTTGAGATTGTAAAATGGTAAGGATTAAACTCAAAACTCAAAAATGTTCTCCCAGTATTGCATTTTGCCTATATTTATCAGAAATTAGACATCATTTAACTATATTTCTTTAAACGCATATGATTTTTTATTTCCTTTTAATATTGTATTATTTAGTACTTTATAAATCAATATTTATTGACTCTAAGATAACAAAACTAACCAACACGCTCTACATTTTCAACACTATTTATTTGAATCTCATTTTCAATTTCTCTGTATCCAATAAAAATACATTTTTTAAACTGAACACCTAGAATATTAGGAGCACCTTGTATATCACATAATCTTGTGTGAACCCATTGTTTACAAACTGGGCAAAAAATAAAGCTTGCTCTAACAACACCTTTCTTGCCAATCTACATGCTAATTCTTAACTTAAAAATAAATATCTTTTGTTTCTCTAAGGCCCTTATGTTAATTTTAAGCCCTTTTTTTTCGTTTCATTATTGCAAAACTGAAACTGTAGCATTACCTTTTCTTCTGTTTCTGCAAATAAACATAACCATCTACATAGAACAGCTCCCATCATAAACCGAAAAAATTTTAATGCACAAAAAAGTTTCCTTACTAGAAATACTAAAATACTCCTTACTAGAAAAACTAAAATAAAAAAAATATTTTTTAGTAATCCACAAGTACAATAAAGTAAAGTGCTAAGATAATAAAAAAACAAGTACAATAAAGTAAAGTGCTAAGAAAACTTAAAGAGTAGAAGGAGTCTTTTAAACTGATCAACCTAAAAATTATTTAAAATATCAGGATTGAATTTTGACTCACTAACTTTAATTATTAAAATGTTAAAACTGTTTGTACACTGAATCATTATCAATTTATGTTTATAATTATGTTGGTGAATTATTATACAATAAAAAAAACTATAAATCTAATTTTTTTAATTTTTGAAAAAAAAAAAGAGAACAGAAAACTTTTTATTACTTAATTATTTTTAAAAATCTTAATTATTTTTTAAATATTTTTTAAAATTTAAAAACTTACTTGTTCTTTTTCTAGCATGTCTTTTTTATGCAATATTTTCATAGCATAAACATGACCAGTGTCAACTTTTTGAACTAAGCGTACCTAATAAAGAAAAGATAAATCATCATAACAATGGGTGAAATAAAACAAAGCAACTAACAGTTTTTTAAACTGTTGATTGCAAGTTTTAACATAGACAGTATTTAAAATCTGTTTTATATAAAGATAACAAAAGATTTGTAAAATAAAAAACTGATTTTTTCACTTTTTTATTTCTATTTTAATTTTAAATAGTTTTACACCTAATTTAACTGATTTATTTTAAATTAACAACAAAATGTGAAAAAATGTAAAAAACAAAAAAAAAACTAAGTTCTAAATTTTGCAAGTATAATTAATGTAAAATTAATTGTTAGGTAAATAAAAAATTAAAAAATTAAAAAAAAAAAAAAAAAATTATTTTACAAACATTTTAGTACAAATTTATAAACTTTTACAACTTTGTTGTAAATAAGGAAACGGGAAGAAACCAGATTAGTTTAAGACAAATTGTTGATAAAAAATGAGAAGATGTGTAATGATAAATTTGATACAAACCTTTATTGTTGATATTTTAAATAATAATCAAAACTCTTATTTTTTTGAGAATTCCCAACAGAGATAGTGTAAAAGTATTTGCGGTTTGATCTGATAATTCAATCAAATCCATAAATAATTTGATTTATTGGATTCTCATTTTAAAAATATTATCAAAGTTGATTGTTCGCTAAATGTTGTAGAGTCATCAATTATTAACGATAAAGTTTTGCCAACTTTTATAATTTATTTAAAAATTATTTATGTCTATTATATTTATAACTTTTAAAAATTATATTATATCTGTTGCGATATTTTTTGTTGGCAATTTATGTACAATATTTGTTCAGTTTTCAAAGATGCAACAAATCAAAATAGTCAGAGTAGGCTTTATTGTGTTTTGTAATATAATAGACTGTAAGAATTTTTTTTTTTCAGACTCAGTTTAGATTCATTACAGACTTTATCAATAAGATACTCTTTTTTTTCATCATTTCTAGTTTAAAATTTTTTATCTGCTTCAATATGGACAGTACTTTTTAAATGCTGTAATATTTTTTCAGACAAAGATGTTTATTATGCAACTCTATGTATCTTATAAAATGAAATACTAATTGAAATTCAATTTTTTGAAATTTTTACATCTTGAATTTTAGACCTTAGCTTTCCAGCTGAACATTTAGTCCAAGGATATGTAATTTTTTCTGATATATATCTATATACGATATATACACATACATAGACCAAGCCTTCCCAGAAAAGGCGTGCAATTTTTTTTCTCGTACAATCACTAAAACGTTTTTCAAGTTAGAGAACATGATCACAGCTGTTTGCGCAAGTTATATTATATGCGTTACTGAAAAATTGTTTTAAATTTAATAACTGCATAAGAAATTAAAGTAAACTTAAATAGAAAACAATAATAATAGTTTAAATAATTTGTGTGTTGTTTTTATTTTTGTTTTTTCTTAGTGGTTATTATTATCGTCAACAAAATTCATTAAGTCAAAGCAAAAAAAAAAAACAGTTTTAGGCGTTAAAAAGGATGACTTTTCCATATTTTATGTGTTTTTTCTTTTAAAGAGGAAAGAGAAAATATAAAATCGTCATCTGTTTGTAAAATATATTTGTATAATTATAATGTAACAAGTTTATATCAAGAGTTAAATTATACGATCACGTTTGCAAACTCTGGTAAAATATTAGGTCTTTAAAATTTTAGTTAATGCAAAGCTGTGTACTTTGTTTATAAGGAGCAAACTATTAAAAGTTTGCTAGCGAGAAGGTTACAAAAAACAAATCAAAAACAATAAACTTACAACTACAAAAGTAATAACACTTTAGTATTATTACTTTAAAGTAATAAAACTATAATAGTGTTATTACATTTATAAAGCACTTATTACTTTTAAAGTTCATTCTTTGTTCAAACAACATTATTAATTCCAAACATTTATTAAAGTAGAAGACCATCTAGAAAAAATAAAGCGGATATTCAAATATTATTAAAAATTTCAGGAACTTTCACATATCACTTAAACAATATTATAAAAAAGTACTTTATAAAAAGTAAAGCATTACGAAAAACGTTACCTAAAAACGCGCGCTAAATTTAAAATCAACTAATAAAAAATTTTTATTGGTTAATTTTAAAATTAACGCGCATTTTTACAGTCCATTAGCATAATGCTAAATTTTGATAACGATACGTTTTAACAAAGTTGTTTGTCACGATTTTATAAGTTACTTTAGTTTTAATATTATTTGAACATCCACTTATTCTTCTAGATATTTTTCTACTTTGATTAAAATTTGAGAATACTAATGTTGCTTGAACAGAGAATGAATTTTAAAAGTTATAAGTGCGTTATAAAAGTAATAACACTATTATAGTGTTTATACCTTTGTAATGCAGTTAGTGGCTAGAGTGTTATTACTTTTGTAATTGTAAGTTTATTGTTTTATTTTTTATTTTTTCGCTAACAAATTTAAGTTGATTCTCCCCTTAAAAACAAGGTACACAGTTTTGTATAAACTAAAATTTTGAATACTAGATATTTTTCCAGATTTTGCGTTTTGCATTCGCTTAATTCAACCCTTGTTGTTACATTAAAATTATACAAATAATTTTTACAAACACATTGCAATTTGTATTTTTGCTATCCTCTTAAAAAAAAAATTAAAAAAAGGAAAATTATTCTTTTTATTGTAGACTTCAAACAGTTTTTTTTTTTTGCTTCGCCTTATCTAATTTTGTTGCTGAATGTAACTCTAAAGAAACAAAAATAAAAACAGTGCACAAATTATTTAAATTATTAATTTGTTTTTATTTTTTTCTATTTCAATCTCTTTTTATTTTGTTAGTTTTGTTTTTTTTGTTTTTGAAACTTTTTCAGCATTATTATAAAACTTGCAAACGGTCATGTTCACGTTTTCTAAAATATTATAATCGCCTGTGGTCATATGAGATGAAAAACCGCACGCCTTTCCTGGGAAGGCTTGATACACACACACACACACACACACACACACACACACACACACACAGATATATATATATATATATATATATATATATATATATATATATATATATATATATATATATATATATATATATATATATACAGACGTGTTCAAATTATTAGACTATAGATTTAAGAAAATTATTTTCCGTGATTGAGTTCAAATATCTATTACATTTTCACAAGTATCACAGTTAAAAGATTTTAAGTATAAAATATGACATTTTTCTAATGTTTTTACATACTTTTTATATTTGGCAACGTCACTTTTTTTTTGTTAGAGCGTTTTCAATATTGGGAGGCAAGTCAGCGCATGTTTTTTTTCCTTTAGTAGCAAAACGTTGCAGCAGTTGTTTGGGTGTCATTTTAAAGTAATTTTAATTACTTTTAATTTATTTTCTTTAAAAAATTACTTTATGTATAAAAACTTAATTCGAATTTACTAATAAATTGTTTTTATTTAGAAATTGTACAGTAAAACTGGTGAAATTATTTTATTTTAACAATGGGCAAAAAAAATGATATTTCCCCCAAAAAATATTCTGCTGTAAAAACTTTGTTGGGTGAAAAGGTTTACACACAAACTCAAATAGCTTTAAAAGTTGGTGTAAGTCAGAAAACAGTAAGCAGAATAAAAAAATGTGTTGATAATCAAGTGCCATATGAGCACCACAGAATAGGGAATTGTGGTCGTAAAAGAAAAATAACCCCAAGGACACAAAGAAATCTGGTTAAAATGGCATTTAATAACAGAAGAGCCACATCTAAGGTGTTGTGTCAACAACTTAATGAAGCAGGAGTCGATGTTTCTCCAGTTACTGTTCGGAGAAGGCTTTTTGAAAGTGGTTTGAAAAGTCGTCGTCCACGAAAAAAACAAAAGGTTACACCAGCGATGGCTAAAAAGAGGCTAGAATGGGCTAAAATTCATGAAAACATGTCTATCTATGACTGGAGTAAGGTAAAATGTATGCAAAAATTGTATTCAAAGTCATTTTGAGAGTTTTCACTTAACATTTGATATCAAAATTTATTTTAAATATGAAGATGAGTTCTGAAAAAATTTAGGCAATTTTTTTTTCTAAAGAATCTCTCAAATTTTATCTGTAATTTTTTGCAAAGTGTTTCTGTGTACTTATTTGTATATTTATTATATCCAGGTATGTTTTAGCAATGAATCCATCTTTTTGGTGGTGGAAGAACAGAGCCAATATGTTCGAAGAAGACCAGGAGAAGAGTTCAAGGCAGAGTGTGTTAGCCAGAGTGTCAAGCATCCAACGTCTGTTATGGTGTGGAGTGTCATGTCAATACACGGACCGGGAATGTTGTACATCGTAGAAGGCACCATGAATCATGTACAATATATTAAAGTGCTACAAAATAGGTTAATGCCCCAAATTAAGACATGGTTTCCAGAGGGAGATGTAATTTTTATGCACGATGGGGCTCCGTGTCATAAAGCCAAAAAAGTGACAGAATTTCTTCAGCAGAGCAGAATCAAGACATTGCCGTGGCCAGGAAATAGTCCCGACATGAACCCCATTGAAAATTTGTGGGCTGTTGTAAAGAAAAAGATCAAGAAAGAAACAATTACCACCAAAGTGCAACTCATCGAAAAACTGATACAAATATGGCATCAAGACCAAGACATCAAAAACGTTTGTAAAACTCTGGTAGAAAGCATGTCGAGCCGCATTAATATGCTTATTAAAGCCAAGGGGCTCCATACCAAGTATTAATTAGGGTTTTTTTAATATTTACGAACGTTATATCTGTAATATTTTTATAAAAATAAAAAAAAAAACGAGAAAAAAATTTTAGTCTAATAATTTGAACACGTCTGTATATATATATGCCTTAGTAGGAACCTTTACACCAGTGTAAGTCAGTTTACACAGGCAAAATAAAGCCAGCACAAAAAAAATTATCTTTTTTTTAACACCAAAATTTGAAAATTTTTTAAAACATAAACAAAAAAATGTTATCAGACAAATGGATTCAAAAATTTATTGAGCTGAATTTAATAAATTCATAAAAGGTAAATGTTAGAGTAAAATTATTCATTTCCAAATTTAATGGAATCTACTTAAGGCCATCAAAATACAATCACTGCCACTCCAAGCGTGGTTAAAAAAGGTAACTGCTGCTGAACAGGAATGTATCTTCAATGCAGCGAATGCTGAGCGCAACTGGAAAACAATTGCTGCAGCCAACAATGTCAGCATATGCACAGCACTTTAATAGGGTAGAAGGGTACAAGAAGAAGCTTACTTAAGATCATCTTGAAATAATTCAAGATTGGATGGAAAACAATTGTTAAATGACTCTGAAGGAAATCAAAGTCCAAATATACAATGAGCTTCAGGCTGATGTTGCAATTTCTACAATACACCAAGCACTTGATGGTGGCACTTTCATTTATAAAGACATTTATTACAAACCTTTGCAAATGAACACAGAGGAAGCATAAGAAGCTTGAAAGCAATATGTTTAAAACCTGCATGAACTGTTTGGATGCTGGCAAAGTTCCAATTTGGATAGATGAAACAAACTATAAACTTTTCACTGCACAATCCAAAGGTTGATCCAAGCACAATACCCGTGCAGTGGCATCTTGTAATGAACCCCGAAAAGGAAAAATTATTCATGTCAATGGTGGAATGAGAGCGCATGGCTTTTTTTACAACAAACATCTACATGGAGCATACAAGAATCAAACTGAAAATGATTGGCTTCATTGAATATTGCGCTCAGCAACTAATTATTAGGGAAATTTGCATCAAATAGGTGTCATTTGTGACAATGCACCAAGTCATTTTCAAGTTGAGGAAGTATTTTTGGAGCCTGAGTTTTAAAAGCGCAAGTGTGAAGCGCAAGTGTGTTGAGACTCCAATTGTCAACCCAATTGAAAATATTTGGTCAATGGTCAAGTCAAATGTGAAAAGATAATTGCGTGAAGACTTGATCTTTCTGCATTTCTGAGACCTCCACCTGAAAATGTCACGGGTAAAGAGTTCAGAACGCAATACTTGGACAGTGTGGCTGAGTGAACTCTCTGCTTTGTCGATTCAAGGTGCTTGCATGTCTTTACCCAACATCTTAAAGGACATTATGAATGTGCTTTCAACCTTCTGTTTGATTGGAGTTAAATGTTGGGATTGGGGTTAAATTACAAGGGAAAAAGTTTTCCAAAAAAAAGCAAAGTTCATAACTTAAATGAAGTTTGTTTTGTATACTTTTATTTTATTTATAAATACTTTTCCATAAATTGATTTGTTTTGCGAGGTGTAAATTTTGTGTGTCAAATTAAATAAAAATTGGACAAAATAAAATGAAAATTGACAAATTAAAATGAAAAAAATGTCAAACTAAAGGGATAAATGACATTAAAATGAAAAAAATGCCAAAATTCTGTGAAAATTGGCCAACTTAAACGCAAAAAAGGTGTAGTTATTTATTGACCAACAACTTTACTTGACTCTTTTTGAATAATAGACTTGTTTAAAGATTATTCATTGCTTCAAAAATCATGTAAAGTTGAGTAAACACTTAAAAGTTAAGTAAACACTCGAAAGCAAATTCCAAGCATTGTGGCTCTATTAAAAAATAAATTTTTATTAATACTAATAAAAGATTTCATTACTTGTTATTTTTAATATATAACTTAAAATAAAATATTACTTGTTATTTTTAATATATATTTAACAGGCGGGTTGGTTTTATGCTTCCTTTTTTTAATTTATAGTTTTGCATTATATTTATTATATTTTACCAACTTATCAAGTAATTTTATATTTTATTTCATTTTATTTTAAATCATTTCACATTTTTTTTATTATTAAATTGCATTGTGTTTCATTTTAATTATTATTATATTTCATTGTGCACTTGTCCATATAAAATGTGCCTCAAAAAATTATTCCTCATAAAGATCTTATATTGTATTTTAATATGAGGAATACTGCATTTTACACTAATATAGCCGAAAAACTAAAAACAAATCCTGATCTTTACTAGAAATGTAATTCAGATAAACTTTAAAATTGGGTAAATAGTTCTTACAATTTAGTTTGACAAAAGAATTAAAAATTACATAAAAATACAGATAACTTTTGTTAAAAATTTAACAATTTAAATTTTTAACAAACAATTCAAGTTAATGTGAAACTTTCAATCACTTTAAATCGCTAGAATTTGTTAATATAAATGATATTATTTGCTAAACTTTATTCATTACTGAAATTATCAGTGCATTTTTTTAATGGCTTACTGATATTTTCAGTAGAATCAAGTGAATTATCAGTGCTTTTATTTCCCCTTTTTGTAAAATTAAACAATTTAATTTTTTTTTTTTTTACTTTTTAAGCAGTTAAAAGGAAACTTGAACACAATCATCAAAAACAGAGATTTTAGGCCTTTAAACCTGCCCTGGAACCTGCCCTGGCAGAAAACTAACACTTCATTTAATATTTGAATAAATAAAAATTATAAAAAATAGAAACAAAACTTGAATAATTACACAGTTATATATTTTAAACAATACCTCTCCAAATGCACCTCTTCCAATAACTTTTAGTGATTCAAAATCCTCTCGTCCAATCCTAGTACGTTTTAATCTTAAAAACTCAGTCTCACGCAATGCATAGACTGTTCTTCGTGATTCTTTCTAAAATTAAATACAGACAATATGTTAAAACAGATTTTGTGTATATAATCCTAAAAACAAAACATTTAAGTTGTTTTCATATTTTCAAAAATTTATTTTCATTTCGTTGGTATTATTTTTAGAGCATTCTTTCTACGCTTTGAAATAATGTTTTCTACAGTGTATATTGCAACCATGTGAGTTTTTATATTTTTATAAATAACAAGTAATAAATTTCTTGATCGGAAAAAGCAAAATAAATTCATGCAATACAACTCCATAAACTGATGATCAACTTGATTCAGTTTCTTTTACCTTGGTAAATATAAAAACCATAAAGAAATGAGCTAGAGCCACTTTTAATCAAAAGTTTAAATTGGTTCTTAGGTACTGTTTTAATTAAGACTATTCTTCAAAATAAATTATAAATTCATTCACATCATAAAACTTTTGTTTTCTTTTTTTGTGTGCAGATTTTTATAATTCCCATTATCCAAAGCCATATTTTCACATATGGTCACCATTAATAGAATCTTGTGTTTCATTTTAAAATAATACATCATTATTAGTAACTTACGTTACTTTTGATTGATAAGCAGACGTCATCCTAATCAGGGCGTATTCTAGGTAAAAATTTGGGCGGCAGTACACCCTCATTCCAGCCAACTTTAGCAGAAAATCTGCATTTTTTATTGTAAAAAAATAATACTTATGGTTAAAAAAAAAAGGTCTTCAAATTTTAATTTGGGTGGCGCCCAAATACAGTTGACACTGTTTAGAAAACGGTCTAGATATGTTGTTGTGTTATTCAAATAGGTCTAGTATAGCAAATGCAATCTCTATTTTTTACTGTTATTACAATCTTAAAATATTCTATTTATATATATTTAATACACTAAATTACAAATAAAAGAAATTATCAACAAAAAATCCTATGAATTTCTAATTGATTTACTATTGTAATTTAAATAAGTGTTTGTAAATTAAACTTAGAAAATTTGTTTACAAGTTGATATTGAAATCAATATCGATACTTGAAAAAAAAACATATTTTATTCCAAAAAAAAAAGGTAATATAAAAAATAATAACATAAATTCTTGTTTTGAATTAAATATTATCTATATTTTTTCTTAATAATGTTTGACATAAATATTGTTTATTTTTTTCCATAATTTCAACCAACAGGGAAAAAATTTTGTTACATTTAATAAAATTTATAAGGGTAGTCTTTTGTATCTTTAGAAAATTTTTAAGGGTAGTCTTTAACACGTTTAAAAAGTAAAAGCTAATCTTTGATATTATTTTTTGTTTACTGTGCTTTTAAATTAATTAATTCTTTATTTTTATTTTAGCCATTGGTTAGCTTTATTGTTAGGAAGTTACAATGTTGTTTACTGGTAGCATTACAACATTTTTACAGCTAATGAGCAATTTGTTGTAATTGTAAGATTTTTCCTAGATATTTATTGTATCTGTAAGATCTTTCCTAGAAACAAATAGACATTAAACTTACTGTTAAAAGCTTCATCAAAAGTTATGACATAATTTAATACTTTTCTCAGGACTACTTTTTCTGTGGCTCTTAAAGTTACAACTAATAGCATCTACTAGTCCTTTTCCAGGTAAAGCAGCAAAATAAAAATTAACAAAATAAAAAGTTTGAAATATTATCAAACCTCTTTTTCTGTAAGTCCTTCTTTATCCATACATTCCTCTAACTGCTTCACTCTAATAAATTGAAATAATTATAGTTGGGATTCAAAGAACTTCAAAATTAATAGTATCAACCTGTAAAAAACAATCACATAAATATCAATCATAATTATAAAATATAAATTCCATTAAACCTTCTACATAGTATAAGGTTTTAATAGGATCACAGCAAAACTCAACAATAAATGTAAATGAGAAATTTTTTAAATGTTAATGAGACATTAGATTAGCTTTTTTTTCATCATTTTTAAAAGTATAGAATGTTTTTGTCTCACGCTAAACTTATCTAATGAATAGAAGATTTTTATTCAACATATAGTGCTAATGAATTTTAATTACTTTGAATCTTTGTGGGGAAGTGAATAATATCCTGCTTCTATTTCTAAGTTAAATTTATTGTGATTGCTTACTTGATAAAGTACATCACAGTAAATTTATTTATAAACTACATCAAAATAACCAAGATACTACAGTTAAGTTACTCAACTATTGAAAATAATTAACATGCTCAAAGACATTTACTTGCAAAAGTTAGCCATGCAACTGTTTCTATTTATATCTTATATCATTTTAAAAATAAATTTATTTGTATAACAGAATTTTAATCTTTTAAAATTCTCTTATTCAAACATTTTTGAAAACTTTACAAAAGTTTTAACATTTACTTAAATATTTAAATAAGTATAACAAATCATAAATTTAATCGAATGGAGACTGAATAAATGTCCATAGCACCCAGTGGCATAGCAAGGATCATTCCTGAAAATCAAACATAGATCTAGCTGCAGTAGCATAATTTAGCAGATAATGCATAAGTGAGGTAGAAAAATTTATTCAGAACATAAATATTTTAAATAGTTAAATATTTTTTGTGAAGATGTCATTACTTTTGTTTCTTAAAACAGTTTAAAAAGTAGAAACCTATTGCAAGCATTAAACAAGTGATTAACATTAAATTATAAAAAATTTATATTTAAAAAAATAAATTTTTCTACTTCAGTTTAAAATAATTTTTTTCCTAAAAAAAATTTAAGCATATATTAAAACTTATGGAATACACCAGTTCAAGCCGCGTTATGAAAAATTAAAAAAAAAGACTCGATCGAGTTTATAAGGGAAATAATTCAAGTTGCAATTCAAATTATTGAAATAATTCAAATTCAATTCTTGAGTAAATGAAGTATAAACAAACAACATAAAAAAGCCATTCACCATTGAAACAAATAAATAACATATATAAATCAAAATGGATTATGATATCGTATGCAGTATGAAAGTTGAAGAATTGACGTCTTATTCGTGGCTTAAAAATATCTGGAAAGAAAGAAATTCTTGTTGCTAGAGTCTATTGTGCAATGAAAAACAATGTTGCACCTCTTAAAACAGCTGAAGAGGTGGAACATGATATATGTACTGAGTACAAAAAAAACTTTTCATAAATGGTGTTGAACTACCTGATCCTTTCAATCTCTGTAATGGTTGGTTATCAGAAAACGAAGGTCTCACTCTTTGGCCAAGATTATTATATCCTGATATTTAAAGTTATTTTATATTTAATCCTGCTGAAATTACCAGTAAAGACTTAAGTGACTACAAAACGTGTGAAGCCTATAGTTACTTTAAATGTAGTAGGCTTGAACCTTTATTTTACCATCAAGTTGGAATAGAAAGTGAGTATTGTTATTTAAAAGAAAACTGTAGGAAATCTGAAAAAATTAATGATCCCTTTCACAAGCTATGGATTATTTTTAATAAAATATTGCTAAAATAATATCTGCACAATGTACTTGTATAGCTGGGTTATCACAAACATGTAATCATGTTGCAGGCCTTCTCAGGAGACGCGTGCGGTTGCACGCCTTGAATGACCACGTATATATATTTTTTTGTTGATAACATGGCCACAATTTTTTTTGCATTTATTAAAAATGACGCATTTAAAAACGCGCTGAAAAAATCAAACTAAGTAGTCATCTTATTGGGGTTTTTTTTATTATTAATAATTTATTATTATAATTATTTATGAGAAAATAAAAACCTAACAATAATGCACATATATATATTTGTAATTAATGATAAAATAAAAAGATAAAAATAATATATAAATATATATATATATATATATATATATATATATATATATATATATATATATATATATATATATATATATATATATATATATATATATATATATATATATATATATATATATATATATATATATATATATATATATATATATATATATATAACTAATTAGTCATCTTATTGGGGTTTTTTTTATTATTAATAATTTATTATTATAATTATTTTTTGCATTTTTATGAGAAAATAAAAACCTAACAATAATGCACATATATATATTTGTAATTAATGATAAAATAAAAAGATAAAAATAATATATAAATATATATATATATATATATATATATATATATATATATATATATATATATATATATATATATATATATATATATATAACTAATTAGTCATCTTATTAGGGTTTTTTTTTTTATTAATAATTTATTATTATAATTATTTTTTGCATTTTTATGAGAAAATAAAAACCTAACAATAATGCACATATATATATTTGTAATTAATGATAAAATAAAAAGATAAAAATAATATATAAATATATATATATATATATATATATATATATATATATATATATATATATATATATATATATATATATATATATATATAACTAATTAGTCATCTTATTGGGGTTTTTATTATTATTAATAATTTATTATTATAATTATTTATGAGAAAATAAAAACCTAACAATAATGCACATATATATATTTGTAATTAATGATAAAATAAAAAGATAAAAATAATATATAAATATATATATATATATATATATATATATATATATATATATATATATATATATATATATATATATATATATATATATATATATATTTATTTGTTTTCATGCATTTAATAAAATTCTGGCAGTTTTTCGTTAAGTTTTTGTTTACTAAATGAATTACGTCATTAAGTAATTATTAATTCTTCCTGTTGGCTTGACAAGGTTTTAACTGAAACTTTTTATAAGTAGAATTAAAAAAAAACTTTTTTTTTTTTATATGTATTAAAATTATTTATCTTATTGTTTTTTTGTTTGTTTATTTTGGTTGACATATAGATGTTTAGAAAAAATTTAAGTATTTAAAAATTTAACTTAGCAGCATTTTAAAAATTCAATCTTATAATAATAAAGCAATACGCATAAACATAAGAAGTGTAAATAAAAACTTCAACAAACCAATGACTCAATTAAGTAATAACAAAGATGTAAGACTAAAATATTTTTCTGAAGTTGCTCTTGGTCTTGCGAAAAAACTATTTCCAGTTTGATAACTTTCATGAATGTTATGAAAAATAACTCAGGAAGAGTGCCAACAGTTTTTAAAAAATTTCTTTGTTAATTATTTTTAATGAATGAGTTCAATACTTATGCAATTCTTTTGTTATGCAACTCTAACTCTTAATTTCTCAACTCAACTTAATTTCTCCGCGCAACCGTCTTGCTTGTCAAGGTTCGTGTTTTGGAGTTAAAGAGTTGAGAGAGGGTTGTACCACGATTTACAACAACAACAACAACAACAACAACAACAAAAAAAAAAAAAAAAAAAAAAAAAAGAGTAGCCTCCTCAACTGTAGTGGTTCCCTCGGGCCTTGGGGAGGTGAGTAATTAAAAAAAAACAAACTCTTAATAACAGATAAAAAAAATCATGATAACCACTCGATAATGTAAGTGATGTAATTTAAGTAAAAAATACAGTATTAAAAAAACAAGTTTATTTAAAAAAAGTTTTAATAAAAACTTTAAATTGGTATAGAATTCTCTGCATTTTACAATACAAACTGCTTTACTGATTCGCAGAAATGAGACCTATAAGTTGAATTTGTTTTTTTACCTTGTTTTCGGTGTAACATAAGTGCAAGTGGCATTTTTAGTAATAAGTTTGCTCTCTTTTGGACGAACTCAAAACTTTTAAGCTTATTTTATTTATTAGACTAACAGCTTTCATACAAAATTGCTAAAAGTTTAATTTAAAAGTTTAAATAAGCAAATATTCGATAAAGTTGTTGCGCGTGTAACGTAAGTTAAAAATGAAACTGCCCATATATGTTATTTTAATGTTTTTTATTTTCTCATTAATAACTATAATAATGAATTATTAATAATAATAAAAAAAAGATGAGCAATTAATTTGGTTTATTCAGCGCATTTTTAAAATTAGTCATTTTTAATAAATGTAAAAAAAATCGTGGCCATGTTACCAACAAAAAAATATATATGCATGGTCATTCAAGGCGTGCAACCGCACGCGTCTCCTGAGAAGGCCTGTGTTGCTGCAACCCTTTTTTGGAATGGAGGCTGCTGTTAGAAATGGTTTGACAAATTTAGCTTGTACTAGTTTAAAATCAGAGTGGCTTCCAAACCGTAGCATAGTAGAACCAACAAAAATATGCAACTTAAAATTTAACCGTGATGAATTTGGTCAGCGCGGGAAGAAAAAAGTGTTCACTAGTATCAAATGAAAAGCATAATTACAACCCATTAGTAAACTGTGACTTGAAGCATTTAAATTTGACAGACATAGCAAAAGCAATTGAAGCTGTTGCTCCTCATAATATTATAACTTGTGAAGTAGCTAAACCTGACATTTATTATATGGAAGATTTAATTGTGACTGCAACTTTTACCTACAACTTTGACCATAGATGATATTATTTGACCATGGATGATATTATTATTATGTCAGAAAATAAATTTTCCTTTAGTGAAAACATTAAAACAAATATGACTCAAACAACTGTTACTGATATAGAGCGTATGACTATGGATCAATACACAAATGAGCTTTGGTTTCATTTTCAAAAGCCAGTTATAACTGCTTCAAAAGCTCATGTTTTGTCCAAAGTTCATATTGCCTAGCTTGTTTAGAAATAAAATGTCCATTTTCTATTAACCATACAAC